TTGTTAGTCTCTAAGGTGCCACAAGTCCTCCTGTTCTTCTTTTTGCGGATACAGACTAACACGGCTGCTACTCTGAAACCAGATATATACATTTAGTTCTGTAGTATTTCCTGAGATTTTGTATTTATATACATTACTAAATACTAACTAATTATTGGAATCCCAGATTTTCCAGCAATACTGGTCACTTTAAACTCCTTAAAATAAGAGCCACATTTCAAGTGTGCTTTTTATTTGTCATTGTTGTATTTTCACTTCGAGAGGATCTTCCAAAAAGTGCTTCACATCATGGCCTATTTCTTTTGAAAACACTCCTTAGATTTTGGGAGCAGATTGGATTTTAGCTGGAGGCTAAAATGGTGGATTTGGCTAACCTTTTCTCACAGGTCAATGAGAGCCAGGGCCGGCTCCAGGCACCAGCACTCCAAGCATGTGTTTGGGGCAGCACCTGGAGGGGGGCGGCGTCACCCGGGGAGAGTGGGGCCCCGGCCGGGCTCTCCGTCCTCCTCCCGGCGCTCCGGCTAGTCGGGGAGAGCGGGGCCGCGGCAGCGCTCGGCGCCCTCCCTTGCCGCGCTCCCCGCCGCGGGGCAGCAGAAGGCTTTTTTGCCTGGGGTGGCAAAAAAGCCAGAGCCAGTGTATACACCTGCCCTGATGAGAACTCACACACTGTATATAGTTAAGGGGGTCATTCTTTAAGCTGGAGGGAGCATGTGACACACTGAGGTTCTGGAACTATGCATACTAGAGAGGCAGTGGACTTGATCTGTGTGGTTATTGACAGTCTTGGACAACAAAACACAGCTGTCCATAAAGGGCTGTACAGCTGGAGTACAGCTTTGCAGATACCACTTCAAAATGTGTAAAGCTGGAAAATGAATATAAAAGACACAGATAAGCTTAAAGCTTCCAAATGCATTGGCCAAAAAATGTGTTCCACACTGGGCAAAAAGATGAAACGTTTACAATCCCACAATTTAGAAGCTAGTGAGGCATTAGGAAATGTCCTATTCCACAATGAAAAACTGAAGCTGAGTGATTTAAGGAAGGGGATGTGAAGTTAAAAGGAGTTTTGTACTGATTAAGAACACTGCAGAGAGAAGAAGTTAGACAGTCGGGAGGAGTGCAAGTATTACATTGTTAAAAATGTAAGTCTTAAAGGGAATGTTGATGA